TCACTCAGTTTTTCCTCTACTTCTCTCACTTGCTTCTCAAAATCCTTTTTGAGCTCTTCCATGTCCTGGGTCCAATTCATATTTTTCTTGGAGGCTTTGGATGTAGGAGCTGTGGCTTCATTGTCTTCTTCTGGTTGTGTGTTTTGATCTTCTTTGTCACCAAAGTAAGATAATATAGTCTGACTCTTTTTGTGTGGCTTGCTCATTACCCCAGCCTATTACTTGAGGTATAAACACTTTGTTAAGGTAAGGGTCTATTTCTAGTGTGGAGAATGTACTGTCCCAAGCTTCAGGGGTTTTGTGCGCTGTTTTCAGAGATACTTTTAGGGTCCTGTAAATTTTCAGTTCTTCCAAGGTGCTATGATCAAGGGCGAGGTGTTTACTCCAATCCTGGCCTGTGCTCTGGTCTATGAGTGACCACAAGCACTCTTTTCTGTCTTGGAACTATGAGGAAGATTCCCTCTCTGCTGCCACTACAAGCTCCACCATACCAGCACTCCTCCTTGCCCCAGGACCACCACCCAGAGCTGTGACCCAGATCCAAGTAGGGGCAAAACAAGAGAATCCTGCAGCAGCAGAGTGATCCCTGCAATGCCCCTCTGATCAGCCACTGATTTCTCCTCAGACTGTGGGCCAGAAGCTCAGGAGGCAGCCACCGGCCCGGGGCCGAGCTAGGGGGATGGGACTGGGACCCTGCCCTTCTCTCTCACCACAGCAGAAACAGACTTTTCCCTCTGATCTTCTAAGTTGTCTTTGGTGTTCATGGGTTGAGAAGTCTGGAAATCATCACAGCTGCCTGCGATTCAGTCCTCTGAAGCCTGCTCCAGGTTTGCTGTGGCATGTGTGCCTATGCTGGACTGCATTCCTTTCCAAGCCTGGCTCAATATACCTTTCCGATCAACCATTCAGGTTGTCTTGGGCTGGAAATTTGTTTCACGCTGTCTTTTTGTGGGTTCTGCTGCTTTAGAATTTGTTTAGAGCCATTTTTTGTAGGTATTTGGAGGGGTTTGGGGGAGAGCGTGAGCAAGTCACTGCTTTTACTCATTCATCTTGTCTCCGCACCCTCTTTGCTTCATTTCTTACCCCCAGAATTTCTAAAAAGGTGATGTTCCTACCTAGATATCTGTGGCAACTTGACATAAATTGGAACTCAACATTTTTTTTCAAAAGAAAATGAAAAAAATATCATAATGACTATTTCAGAAAATCAAATAATCTTAGATCTGGAAAGCACATTGGCAGCCATGTTATTTAATTTACTTGAAGCATGAATTCCCTTTATAACATCTCTGATAGATAGTTACATAACTTCTGCTTGAAGATGTCCAGGGATAGTAAACTTACTGTGTCCTGTAGCAGTCCCAGTGTAAGGGAGGTCTAATTTTTTTCAGCTGGTTTTCCTTATATTGAGCTGAAATATGTATCTCTGCAACTGCCATCCTTAATTCCTGGTTCTCTGATTTGGGTCTAAACAGAACAAATCTAATCAGTGCAGTGGAGAGCCTGAGTATTTGCTTTCAAGTTATGTCTTGGCAAATTGATACTAACATAACCAGAGGAACATTACTTAGTCTCTTGGTACTCACTTTTATTTCCTATAAAGTAATTGGACGGAGGGAACTAAGTGGCACAATGGATAAATCACTGGGTTTGAAGTCAGGAGGACCAGAATTCACATCCAATGTCAGACACTTACTAACTGTGTGACCCTACCAAGCCAATTAACCTCTGTCTGCCTCAGTTTTCTCAACTGTAAAATGGAAATAATAATAGCACTTACTTTACAGTGTTGTCATAAGGATAAAATGAGATAGAATTTTTAAAGTTCTTAGCACAGTAATATTATTTTACACTAACAACATTGTTACAATTTATGAGTAATTCCTTACAGAAATAACCAACTACATTTTAAACATTCAAATAACCTCTAAGTCTCACTGTGGCATTGTTAGTGTCTTAGCAGTCACCTGCAGACCAAAGCATCATGAAAGGAGAAATATGTCTCCTGGGGCTGGAGACCCTACAGGGTCTAAGTGCAAATGCTATTCAAATCATGCCATGAAAAATCTGTATAGTCTTCTCCACAAGTATATGAAAAGGGGAAAGGGGAAGAATGTTTCATTTTTATATGAAATCTGGAATATGGTGCCATGGAAATTCTACTCTGTCACAGCCAAGGGACAATGCATCCATTAGTAGGGTAAAGTTATCATTTCAGAAATATAGCTAAGATTGTTTTCAAATGACAAGATTAAAAAAAAAAAACTTTAAGCCTTATTTTATGACTGACTTTAATTGGGTCCAGTCAGAAAATATGTTGTTTGCCTCATGGAAAGGTTAGTGCTTTAATTCACGATAACCCTAGGTTAATACTTTCCTATATGATCTGGAACACTTGACATCTGAGAGAAATCACTAGTCACCCTAGACCTAGTATCTGGCATTAAGCTTCAGAGTTTATATTCCACTGGACAAACCTTAAAATATGGAAAGCAGAAAAACATCCACAATGGTATACAGCAATATACATTATTGACTTGGGGCACTTTATAGAACACATGTATTTGAGCCTAGGGAAACAGGCTTGTTTACTGCTATCATTTGTGCATTCAACTGGTTCAGTGCCACAGGCTTTGGGGGCTGCTAGTATGTGTTAGGGATATTTCATCTTGTTCTTTTGCATTATTTTCCACCAGCAGTCTTCCAATTACTCCACAGCAACTTCTGCAGAACTTAAAAGTCTCACTGTCTTAAAAGTTGTTTTAATGGTTGAAAACACTTTTGAATCAGTAGTAAGGTTCCTGAGACTGAAAAGGTTTTGCTGAGGTTTGAACTTGACAATGAGAGATTATCATTCTATCCTGTGGTTAAAAAGCACAATGCAGAAGCACTGCACTAATTCTGGTTAACTATATCTAAAGACAGGCTAAAACAGTGCAAAGTTTAAGAATATATATGAGTGTGATTGTGAATGTGTGTGTGGGGATAGGTCTGTAGATAAAGAAATGAATTTTGGTTTCACGTCTTCATGCTAATTTAAACTATGCTAACAAAATGTTGACTAATTAAAAGTTTGGGGTAAGTGATTTAATAAATTGCTTATAATTAACTTATAAATTGATTATAGACAGAGAAGAGATTCTAGAGTGCCGAAGCATGCTTAAAAACAGTTCTTTAGACAAATTAAACATTATCCTCCTGACATTTTGTTCACATTTGTTTGCCCAATCTATAAAGGATTTATTAAGCAAACACGAACCTTGGTAGTCCCTGTTGAAACTGTCACAAATAAGTAGACCTTGATTTGATAAAGTTTTACTGTAAGCAGTTTCTCTGAAGGGAGGGAATCTATGTTATGATTAATTAATATCATCAGCACAGAATCATAGAATAATTGATAGTTGGAGGTGACCTGAAAGTTCATCTATTTCTACCACTTATCTGAAGCATGAGATATCTTTGTTAAGGAAGTTTTATTGAACAGATTATTGTAAGAAGTTAGAGACCACTCTGTCTTCCCTACTTCTAGGTTCTGACATTGTCAGTAATCATTGTTTATTATGTAGTTGTTTTATGGCTTGCAAAACACTTTTCCGAAATCATTTCTTATCCTCACAATCAAGTAAATTACTGCAATAATTATCATTATATCCATTTTCCAGATGATCATACAGGCTGATGGATATTAAGTATCTAAGATGTCTAGTAAATAAATGTAAGATCTGGGATTCAAACTTAGTTCTCATGACTCCCAAGATCAGTAAATCATCCCAGTTCCAGTGAAGCCTTCCTGAACTACCATGACTAACAGTAACTCCTTTAAAAATTATTGTTCATACAAAATAGTATTTATTTATATATATTTTTTCATTATTCCCAACCAATATTCGTGTTGTTTTTCCAACTACATTTTTTTTTGGCTAGGCAATGGGATTAAGTGACTTGCCCAGGGTCACACAGCTAGTAAGTGTTATGTGTCTGAGGCTGAATTTGAACTCAGGTCCTCCTTAATTCAGGGTCAGTGCTCTATCCACTGTGCCACCTAGCTGCCCCATCCAACCACATTTTAAGCTACTTGAGTCAACTATCATCTACTTTTCTCACCGTCCTTCACACAGGACCAGGTACACAGTAAACCTTTTGTGAGTTACAGTGACAAACAATCACATGTAATATAACTATGTATTATTTTATACCTGAAACAAAATGTCAGACTATACCTGTGGTAAGTCAAATCAGAAACATTGGGTAGGTCATAAGCATCAAAGTCCTTTAATTCTCTTCTGTGAGCAATATGGACTGATTGTTATGGATTCACCTGCACTAAGGAAGGTCAATAAGTATACCCTGTAAACGAGGGTATCTATCATTGTACCTCACAACAGTATATCATCATATACTTTTGAAAGACTATTAGACCAATTTTTACATTTAATTCTCACAACAGAAAGACTAAGAAAGGAACTGAAGGTGTATAAGTAATAGAGTAAATAGATTACTGTACTCAAAATTGGGAAAATCAGAGTTTAAATCTTGCTTCAGACACTTACTAAATGGGTGATCCTGAGCAAATCATGTTTTCTTTAACTATAAAATAAAGATAACTATAACATCTACTTCATGATATTGTGAAGATCAAATGAGATAATATGTTAAGCGCTTTATAGACCTTAAAATATTAGATAAAGGGAAGAGTAGATATAGTAGAGGTGGGGGTGGTGGTGGTGATTTTGATGGTCACCTAGAACTTGAATTTGGAGAGAAGCAAAGACAGTCACATAAGGCTCTTTAGTACCAGTGGACTTATGTAGCTGATTTTAAGAATGTCTTTCTTTCACCAGAGTACTTCCCCTCATGCTCTTAGATAACTTTTGTTTGCTTGTTTTTTTTATTTTTTTCAACTTTATCATTGATATATTGTATTTTACGCATCATTTTCATTTCTAAATATATGTTTTTACCTAATTCCCTACCAAAAGAATCATTCCTTGAAAACATAAATTAAAAAAAAAAACCTTTATGAAGTCCTATGTTATCTTTTACACAGGGACAATGCTGATAATCTCTATATCATTAAAATTTTAGTATATCTACTGCACATGTGAGTACTGCACTTGGATTTTTCAAGTTCTTTTACTAAGGGACAACATCACTAAGTGTCTAATGACAGGGAAAACATATAATGCAAACATATGTGAAAATACTCATTATTGATACATTATTATTAGATTCTCTCCAGGTGATGTTTTATTTGGGGGTGGAGCAGCTGAAGGTCCTAGGCCCTTGATGAGGATGGTCGATTAGAGGGTGGAACAGGAAGGGTATCAAAAGTCATTGTTATAGAGAAGGAAAGCTAGGGTCACTGAAAAATCACAAGTTTTTCCTTAGAATGAAGTCTACTTGATAGAAAATGTCTTTGAGAGAGGAAAGTAAGTTGGTGTGATTGAGTGGCAGAGAGGAAAGCCAGAAGAGAGAGTTGTGCGGAAATAGTAAGAAAAATTATATACTTAGAAGTCTAATCTAGCAGAACAAAGTGGGGGGGGAATGAATAATAAGGAATATGGTAAATGGGTGGGAAGGATGAAAAAGCAAAGAATAAAAAAAAGGTGTGAAGTATTGAGGGCATGAATATGGCTGAGCTGGGCCTGCATGCACAACCTCTCCTTGGGGTGTACACAGCCAGCAGGCTGGAAAATGTCTGAATTCTTAACACATTCAGCATGTGCCATCCACACATCATTGCTTTCTTCTTTCCTAACAACACATTTAACTTGAGTTAAAGGATGGCAAAGGCAGCATGTGGGCCAAATTCTAACTGAACAGCTTTCTGAACTGTTACATAATATATCCTAAAAGATGCTATCTAATGTTGCCTGACCTGACATTCCCATTCAATGAGCATAGAGGAATTTTGTGGGCCCAAACTATTGTAGACTGGAATGCAACTCAAGTCTCTAACATTCTAACATTCCATAATATGAGAGAGAGAAAGAGAGAGAGAGAGAGAGAGACAGAGACAGAGAGACAGAGAGAGAGAAACAGACAGAGAGGGAGAGAGAGAGAGAGAAAGAGAAACAGACAGAGAGAGAGAGAGCACTGAATGATTAACTTTCCCTAAATCATTTCCTAATCAGGAACTGTCCATAGAGTTGATGTGGAATTTATACTTTATGGAGTCATGTAATCATAAATTAGAGTAGGAAGTCATATTAGAGATCCCCTAGTCCAAATCTAAAGAGAACTAAACTAAAACTGAGAGAATTTCAATGGTTTCACTAAAATCACTTAATTAAAAAGTAGTGGAGAGAGCCTATATGTTCTTTTCTGGATGGTGCTGCTGAATTACTGTTGAGATATTAGGTAAGCCACTTACCTTCTCTTTCTTGAAGTTTGTATGTAAAAAAGAAGTAACTGTTTCACAGAGATTTTATGAGTATCAAATGAGATAATGCAAATAGTTTTGAAAGTTAAGTAAATAACAGGTTGTTAACATCATCTTTATCCTTTTGTTTTCATGTTTTTTTCCCCTAAACTGAAATGCAATCCATTACAATAAACATTGATTAAGTACTTACTTTGTGCCAAGAATTGTTCTAGGTACTAGTGATGTGTGTGTGTATGTATGTATGTATGTATATATGCACATCCATACATGTATATATATATTCTGTCAAGGAGCTTGTATCTTACTGTGGGTATACAAGAAGTAAGATACATAATGTGTGAATGGAGGAAGGCAGAAATTTTAATTAGGATAAGATAAATCTCTGCATAAAACACTCATTGCTGGAAGAGCAATTTATCTTGGATATGTGAAATTTAGAATAAAATCTAGAGAGTTTATGATCAAGAACTAAGACTCAGGGCTTGAATTCCTGACTTTTAGAATTGTGAACTGTTTTTCAGGATTTCAGTCTTCATCCCTCTTCTTCTCCCCATTGCCTCAAATAAGGTAACTATTTCTGAGGAAGAAATATTTTTAGGAGACCTAACTAACCCTTGCAAAAATGATTAAATAAATGAAGATTGTTTTTGTTAACACAATTCTCCCTTTTCTGTGCCCCACTCTACTTCTGTTCTCTTCTCACTCTTCTCATGTTCCCAATGCTTTTATATACTCACCTCTGATTCCTAATCTAAATTTACCCTCCACTAAGGAGCTAGCAATCTCCCTATTCAGAAGAAGGTGTACATCGGTAAAACATAATATACATGCATTATCCTCATTCACATTGTATGTACATTTTAAAAGAAAGAATTTTCAGCAACTGTGGCAAGCTTGTATATTTGTGTGGGCTGATAAGCTGGTATTTATAAGTATGGGATTCTGATCATTCCTCAGAAAGTTACATAGAGTAGATAACTACCTACTCATAAGGGAAGTCTGGTTGATAGCCTCAGCAGTGATTAAATCCTTCTTAGGTCCTTGAATCAAATGTTTACTGAAAGAGTTCTAAGGAATGAAGGTAGAGATGACAGAAGATAAGAGCAGAAGATTTGTGTATGTCTTTTATAACCTCATTGGCTTTATTCACAATGAATGTGGGTCATGAGAAACCCTTAGCTTCTCATCACCCACCTCAAGCCTTTGAGTTGGCAATTTTTGTAATTTAACAACCCCTCTGTAAAAAATAGTTATGCAAGGGCACCTAGAGGATGAATGAGTTATGTATGTATTCCCTACTTTCACCCTCAGAGTATTTTCCATCATGGTGCATGCTGGTAGTAATTAGCTGGTTGCCTATTGAGTGATTCCAAAGCTCAAGATGCCTTGTTATCTTCCTGTCTTAGTGGGAGCCATTTTACATGGCTGCTGGATGTTTCTCCAATCATACCTGTTAAGCTTTCTAACATGTATTCCCAAACCTTTCAAATATTTATGGAATTATGTATATATATATATATATATTACATATAATACATATGGAATAACACATATAATAACACACACATATGTGTGTGTATTATTATCTGCTAAAATATTCTTGTAATACCTTCCAACAGCATTAAGGTGACTATGGATTTGATCTCAAAGGCTTTGTAAATAGTTGGAATTACCAATACTCTCTGATAGTTCTATTTACCAATAAAAGCTATTTTTTGAAAATTAAATTTTATTAAAATATTTTAATTATCTACATTCTTTATTATATTCCTCCTTTCTCTTCTCAGAGATTCATATAATAAAGAATTTTTTAAAGTGAAACAAATTATATCAGTAAAACTGACCAACACATTTAAAAAAGTGTAATGTTGTTCTAAAGATGTGTTTCATGCCCATAGTCCCCCACCTATGCAACAAAGTGGGGAGGTGCATTTTCATTTATGTTCTTTAGGACCAAATTTGGTTGCTATGATTTCCTAGTATTCGGTCCTGGTTGTTATTGCTTTTCATTTGCATAGTTGTGGCCATTGTATATGCTGTTTTCCTGGATCTATTTACTTCACTTTGTGTCAGTTTATATGTTTACCCATGCCTCTCTACATTCATAAAACTTATACTTTCTCTCAGCACAACAAAATTCCTAGAAAATTTCTTAATAGAGGCCCAGTGAAAAAAATGTATTTTGTCATCTGAGGGCAATCCTAAGTTTTGTAAAGTGGACTATAAGGTTGATCACTGCATGATGCATTTTTTTCAGCAACAGCAACTCAAGAAGAGTTGCAATCTGCATCAGTGAAATTAACAACTACATTGGAGAAAACAACAAAACAGATCTTTGAAGTATTGAGGTATAGTTTGTTTTAATGTAGCTTACATGAAGAACTATACTACCTCTCTATTAGATCATATTTGCCCGCAGAAAATCATACTTGTTGATAGAAAAAAAAATCTGGAAACTAGGACTAGTCAAGACAACTGTAGCAATATCCCATGGAACAAAACAAACAAACAAACAAAAGCTTTCTGCCTAAAGCCCCATATGCCACTCAGATTGACCTATTTGTGTGGAAGAAGAGTAGCTTTGTCTATTAACTTAATAAATTAATTAATTAAGAAATTAATAAAGCGTGTATAGGCTACCATGAAAATTCATTAATGGAAATAATTTAAGAAGAAAATTTCTAAGTATACTGAAAGAATAAAACTTTATACAAATGAATTTGTAAAAATACATGCCATAGCAATTTCTAAAAATTACCCTTATTGGTAAACTTTGGTTTTGGATTCTCTACTTAAGAATTAAGAACAATCCTCAGGCTTCTGTCCAGGTGAGATTCTATGACATGTCAGTAATTCAAAAGCTAGAAAAGCTTAAATTTCACTGATTCTCCATGCCAGGGTCATCTCACGAGTTACTACCTTCCACTCTACATAGATTTCTACTGCCTCTTCTGAGATAGAAAGCAAGAAGATTCTTGAGGTGAAAAACAGGAGCCCAAATTTATTTTCCATACAGTGTAAACATGCATGCATGTACACACATGTATATGCATACTTATACATATATATGTTCATATATAAACATGCTCATAGAAATACATGTATGAGTTTTCATTTTGCATCAGACACAATGTATATATAATGTGTATATTTGTATAAATATGCATATGTATGTATATATATTGTATATATGTGTTGTGTGTGTGCGTATGTATTGTGGGTGTGCTAAATGCTAGAGAAGTAAATACAAATAGAACAGACAGACTCTGATCTCATAAAGCTTACATTCTACATACAAGGAAGAATAAGATTGGATTGTTCTTTGAATTTATGTTAGGTATTCATGTATGCATGAATATATGTGTTATGTACATATACACACACATATACATGTATGTGTATATATGTGTATATATACATATATACATATATATGTACATATGGTGTTTCATGCATGTATATGATAGGTAGAATGGTGTGGTCCACTAATCCATACTTACTGTGTGACCCTGGACAAGTCATTTAACATCTCAAAGTTCTAGGCACCTCTGTATTAGAGAATTGTCTAGGGGCACTGAGGGTTAATTAATTTTCCTATGCTCTCATGACTAGGGTATATCAGTGATAGAATCTGAACTTAGAGTTTCCTTCATATAAACTTGGCTTTTAATCTTCTATTCATTGTTTTCTACACTATACTAACACATGTACATTTATGTGTGTA